TGTGCGCCAGGAATATTGACTCTTTCTTTTTATGTCCTCAGGGCACAGAAGTTCAGGTTGATGACATCAAGCGTGTATACTCCCTGTTCCTGGATGAGTCACGCTCCACTCAATACATGAAAGAATATCAAGATGCTTTTATGTTTAATGAACTCAGTGAGTAAAAGTATGAGCGAAGAATAATCAGAGTCCCAGTCCCAAAATCACGTTCCCTTCTAGCAGCCATTTTTCCTAATGGCAACAATTATATACTGTGCTGTTAAAAAAAGCAATGTGCTAAATTATCTATCAAAAGTACATTATGGCAATATGTTATATGAACTAATTCTATTGAAATTAAGACTTAATCAGCAAGCATACAAATTAATTGCAAACAACTCAGCTCTAACTTCAGCCAGGCCATCAAAGGTTAGGACTCCACATACTATGTTTGTTATTCTTTTATGGTAATGTGAATGATTGAGGATGTAGCAAGCTTTTCCATAGCAAAAGGCCATCCTGTTATAGTTTGTCTGCCAGAAAGTATGAAAGCTGCTAAACAGAATATGAAATGGGAATATCGTACAAAATGATCCAAGATGCAGACTGACAAGTATGGGTACTTTTGATTCTAGTGCCCTTTACTTGATCATTGGTCTTGAGTGCTGGAAGCCTCCTAATATAATTTTGTAAAAAGAATTCTGTGATTACGCGGGAACTTCATAGAGTTAAAATTTTAAGACCATGTCCTCTTAAACAACATCCTTATTTACTGAGGATGATCTCTCACTCGTCCCCCAAATAATCTTGGCAGAGTTTCTCCATCTTGATGTTTTGTTTTTATTTTTCAGAAGGGGAGACCATGGATACAACATGATGAAATTTAAATACCCAGAGCAGACGGGAGTGTGAATCGATATTCCTTTATGTTGTTAGTTTTTTATACAAATAAAACAGAATTTACTGAATTTCTGCTTGCTTTGAATTGCGAAGCCAACAAAAATCACCATTTTTAGTATTTCAGTAACTGCTTCCTACGTGTCTTTACTGCTTTTTGCTCTGTAAATATGGTGCTTTCCTTAAAACAGATTTAAGTCTTAAATTCTGCAAGCTTTTTTTCTGCGACACCTTTTGACTCTCATAAAAGAATTATTATATACAATGACGAATTAATTCTGTTGCTGGCATTATCGTTTTCCATTCCTTATGAAGTCTCCCCCCCCCCCCCCCCCCCCAACCTATAAAATAGCCCATATTGTTGAGTGGAGAGATTTACAAGAAAAGACAACAGCAGTTTGACTTGCAAAATTTTATTTCACATATCTTCTGGAAAAAAGTCATCATAGGAATGTCTCTGCCCCCTTTAAAGTTTGCGCCAGTTACAAAGTTTGACCAGCAGAGAGAACTTAGGCACTCCATAAATGTGCCTTCTCTGGCAAAGGCAGGACAGTAAAACAATCATGTTCAATATTACGTTGTTGGTTTATCCTTCTGAAAACTGCCGGTAAAGTGATTCCAATTTGGAGTCTGTAAACTGAGGCACAAAATTAATCTTGAGAATTTCAGAGAAACCCTCCTCGAGGGATGGCTCCACATACTTACTCCTGTCAAAAAGAAAAATAATCATTAAGTAGTCCCCAGGGTTGGGGATATTTGCAGAGCTTTGTTTAACCATGCTATTGGATTTTTGCAAGGATGGAAAAGTGCCAAGAAAGCTGCCTGAAGAAAGCAAGTCGATGGTGACAACCCCATGACCTATTGGGTAATTATTCTTTCCAGATGTAAATAATGACAGGTTTGCATCAACCCCCCCCCCCCCTTCACAGGAGGCCCAGTCAAGTCTCTTCTATCTCGTCCCTGCAGGTGGGAGGTGGAACAAAGGGAGCCAGGAACTGTGAGGAAAACTGCACGTCTACTTCTCATTCCAGTGTGTCCCAAATGGCCCCCTCCTTCCAGGAGTAAGAGGCTTACCTATCAACAGCTAGTGCACCTAAGGCAACACTTCCTCTCCCCCTAGTGAATCCTATCTCTCCAACAAACACTGAAGCTGTTCCCTTGTCTTTCCTCACCAGCCATCACTGTTAGAGAGAATGTAATTTTTGACCTCAGTTGCAAAGCAGGCAATGGCTGGTTGGCCATAGAGACCAGAGGGACACAGGAAACAGGGTGGGGTATGTCTTTCCCATCTTTCCTTGCATAACACAACCTGTAGGTTCATGGAAGTATAATTGGAAGGCATAGCACTGAAGGGATTCCAACTTCCCCAAATTTCATTATCATGGGGATCATGGATTCTGGCATTCTTGTATATTGGCCCATTAGAATTGCCTTAGTTCAGCGGTGTCAAATGATCTCTTTGAGGGCTGGATCAGCATTGTAGTTCTCCATGGCCCAGCATTGTGGAGAGACGACCGATGCCTCCAGCACCCTGCCAGCCAAAAAGGGTGCAGAGGGGCCATGCATGCCCCCCCACACTCAATTTTCAGCCTGGATGGTCTCCTGCAGCACTTTGTTAGCCAAATGGTGTGTGGCTGAGCCATACAGCCCGCCCCCCCTGTGCCTTATTTTTGGCTTCTGCAGCATTCGGGCAAAATCGGGCCATGCAGAGGCCTTGCAAAACTCCCATGTGGCCCATTTTCAGCCTCCCCAGCCTCCAGCAGCAGGTCCCCATGCAGCATATTTTTGGCCAGCAGAGTGCTACTGGAGGCTGGGGAGGCCAAAAATGGGCCAGATTTAAGCACCCGTGGGATGGATCTGGCTCACAGGCCTTGAGTTTGACACCCCTGACTTAGTTGAACAATTGTTGCCCTACACTTTCCAATTTCACCCACTTGAAGCTTACAGATATGCACGTTTTATTTCTTTATAGACAAATAAAGAAAAGGAGGAATTTTACTCATTGATTATATTTGGCAGGGCAAGCTTATCAGTAACTTAGCACTGAAAATTAGCTTTTTGAATTCAGCTTTGGAAATAATTAGCTAACTCTTCTAAATCTCCAACAAAAGTAACTTAACTACTCTGGGAAGAATAGATGCCCAGGAAGGACTAATTTTCCATTCCAGTTCACTCTTCAGATTTTCAGAAACTTACTTATAGGTATTCAATACAATGTTGTTGACTGGCACATGGTCTTTCTCTGTCATCTCTCGGAACTAAAAAGGAAAAAGGGTTCTAGTCAGCAGGGGATAGCGATGGGGAAAATAAATTGGACAATACTTAATTTTTAAAACAAATACAGTATAGGGAATCCTTAGCTTATGACCACAACTGAGCCCGTTTTCTGTTGCTAAGTGAGAAAGTGATTAAATGAATTTTGCTCCATTTTACAACCTTGCAGAATCACCACTGTTAAGTTAGTAACAAGGTTGTTAAGGTAATCTAACTTCCCCATTGATTTTGCGCAAAACATGAACACATGATCCCAGGATACTGCAACATTCATAAATACGGATCAATTGCCACACATCCAAATTCTAATCACATGACTGGGGGTGCTGCAATGGTCGTGAATATGAAAAATGGCCATAAGTCACTTTTTTCAGTAACATAACTTCAAAAGGTTGCTAAATGAACAGTTGTAAGTCAAAGTCTACCTGTAGTCCTCAAATTCCAATGACAATTGGGATCAGAATTTCCACTGCTAAGCGATGCGCTTGAAAAGTGCCATGACATTTTTTAGTGATAATAATATCAGTTGCCACTGTTAACAAGGGCAACTTCCTGCCGGCTTTTCATAACCCAAATCAGTGGGAAGATGCAAGCCCTAAGTGGCTCACATACAGGTAAGTAGCTGCTGCTGGGCGGGGGAGGGTGCAAGAGAGATTGACAAGGGTCAAGGAGGGATCAAGAGGATGTACAAGGGAGGGGAGGGGAGGCTGGGAGAAGGTGCAAGGGAGATACAGCAAGGGTTAGGATGTGCAGGAAGTTCAGTTAAGTTTTTAAGGGCAGTACATCTTCTTTATTGGAATATTTTAAATCAAGAAGTTCTTGTACATATGGAGAGGGACAACAGAATATCACTTATCTACAGAGAACCCAGATACTAATTTGGCTTGTGGGATAAATAATTTTTAGGAAGGGCTTTGTCAGGTCTTATTAAGACTAGAGAATCAGATCTTTCACCTTCAAAGACAGAATACTTGTACTAGAAGAAACTGCAAGCTACCAATGCTACATTCATCTTTAAGCAAAAGTGTGATTTATAGCAAAAAAAATAAAAAATAATATTGAAAAGATGTGCTGGGTACACCCATGCTATCTGTCAAAGTCTCTTGAAGCACCTTCTTCAAATCTGAACAGTGGCACATTTCTAATCTGTACTTGCACCTCATCTATTTCTGAAATGCCACAATTTATACACAGTTCTCCGAAGTAGCCTGTGTGGGGAGTCATTGATGGGTTATTCTCATATCCAATCTGCCCTGAGACTGAGGTTAAAGTTGAGGCCACTCCCCTCTACTTCCTCTGCATGGCTCCAATTTAATCTCAGTCTCGGCCCGAATCAGTACTGTTTTTGCTTCAAATTGGACTTGAGTGTTTGTTTTTTTCCTTCTTTTCTCCTTCCTTTCCTTCCTCACCTCCTCTCCTAGCGTCTGTGTGTGTGTGTCTTGCATAAGCTGTGCTTTGCTACTTTGTGAGGCTCTACCGTACTGCTGGGCGGTTGTGGGGCTCCAGGCCAGGCGCCAAGGGGCGCTGGGAGCCACAATCCCCCTATTCCATCTGGGGGGGGGTGTTGCTAGATCAGAAAAGAGGCTCCTAGAGGAGCAGCTCGGCAGAGCTCACTTGGAAGCATCGGATCGCATGGTTGGCGGTCGCCATTTTGTTGAAGGTGGCCATTTTGAGAGGCGCACATCCTCTGATGTGCGGCTGCTGCAGGACATTAAGAAGCTGATGGTGGCTACCCAGTTTTCAGCAGGCACCACGCTGGATGCAGTTAAGTACTCCTCTAGAGCCCTGTCCTCTTCAGTGGCATCCAGACATCTTCTCTGGTTGCTGCAGGCAGATACCAGATCAAAGTGGAACCTGGCAGCAGCTGAGTATGCCGGAGACAAATTGGTGCTTACCTTGATCCTATTCTAGTGGAAGATAAAAATAAGTGCAGGATCCTCCCTTCCATGGCCAAGCTCTCTGATCAGTGTCCAGCCCCTTATCCAAGGAGGCCTCCATACCGGCTTCCTGGCCAACACTTCCAACAACAGAGATATTCTTCCCCAGATACTCAAGGCAAGAGGACAGACAATACTCTAGGGACAGGGACAGGTACTAGCAGCCCAGTAAATTGCTTTCGAGGGGGCGGGTGGCCGTCCCTATCACAGAAACAAGTGATTTGGATCAGATCACCCGAATGGCGGCTGCCTTACCTTGTTTTCAGATCCCTGGAACTGCACCACCACTGATCCTGGGTCCTTCAGACTGTTAGGTTTGGTTGAGGTTAGAGTTCCGCTCCCATCCTCCGAATAGATTCCATCTCTTTTCTTCCTCTAGGAACCAGGTAAAACGTAAGCTCATGCACAAGGCTATTCAGTATCTGATGGATATCCAAGTGGTGGAGCTGGTTCCAGAGGGAGAGAAGAGGTTAGGGTTTTATTCTAACTTGTTCGTAGTTCCCAAAAGTTCAGGGAGTTGGAGAGTGATCCTGGATTTGAAGGTGTTGAATACTAGGTTAGTATATCATAAGTTTAAGATGGTGTCCCTAAAGTCCATCTTTGAGGGGATTAGACAAGGGGACTTCCTGGCATCCATTGACATCACGGAGGCATACCTCCATATCATGATATTCCCAGAACACCATACGTTCCTTAGGTTTTCCTATAAGGGGATCCATTATCAATACAGGGCTCTCCCTTTTGGCTTGACGTCAGCTCCCAGAACCTTCACCAAGGTCCTGGCGGTGGCCATGGGTCATCTCTGCTCTGTTCCGGTCCACTTATAGTGCTACTGGATGATATCCTCATCCAGGCAGTGACTTCAGACCTGGTTAAGGAAGATCTGGGTCGCACGATTAACACCTTGCAGACCCTGGAGTTCTCGATCAATTTCGTGAAGAGTTATCTGGACCCCACCACTAGACTTCAGCATTTAGGGGCTGTCATTGACATAGTGGAGTGTGAGGTGTTCCTTTCTCAGGACTGTAGGGACAGTATTCTGGGGTTGATTAAACAGATTTGCAAGGCATGCTCTGTTCCTGTAATTCTTCTCTCTCGGCTCCTGGGAAAGTTTATCTCGTGCATCATGATTGTACCATGGGCCTCTGCGCCAGGGAGCTGCAATGGTTACTACTTCCCCACCAGAGGGACAGAACCAGTGATGCCTTCTACAAGATTCTTGTGCCGCCCCAGGTTTTTCTGCCCTTCCATTGGTGTCCCCAGCGCTGCCAGGAGCTCCCTGTTCAGGGAGCCAGACAGGTTGGTCCTGATGACAGATGTGAGTCTTTTAAGTTGGGGAGCTCACCTGGAATCCCAGATAGCCCAAGACTGGTGGATACCCATGGACCTGCGAAAAAACATAAATTGGCTGGAGCTCAGGGCAAGGGTCAGCCATCAACATGTCCTGGCCCTGATGGACAAGGTTGCTGCCAAGGCCCATGTCAACAAACAAAGGGGCACTCACTTGCTTGTACTTTGAGATGAGGCAGTGCAACTGGGAAACTGGGTGGAATGGCATCTTGTGTCGATACAAGTGGAACATATCTCTGGGTGGAGAACTAGCAGGCAAACTGGCTCAGCAGGAAGACGGTGGACCACGGAGAATGGCAGTTACATCCCAGCATTTTCAACGACATTTGTTGGAGGTTCGGTTGGCCAGCAGTGGATCTCTTTGCTACCCCGTCCAACTCCCAGGTCCGGAACTTCATCTCACAGTTCCCAGCTCGAGGGGCAGTAGCCATTGACATCTTGCATTGCAGATTGCCAGCGGGTCTCCTCTACGCCTTTCCCCCTCTCCCTCTCATTCCCGGGGTTCTCAGGAAATTAGTGTTAGAGAGGGCAGAGGTGATCCTTGTAGCACCATATTGGCCCTGGCGATCTTGGTTTGCTGACCTGGTGGGGCTGTTGGTCCTTCCCCATTGAAGGATTCCATGGGGGGGAGGGGGGAGGGAAAGTGGCTCTGCATCAAGGGAACCTAGTTCATCCGGAGCCCAAGTGGCTTCAGTTGACTGCTTGGCACTTGAGCGGGAGCAATTGAGGGCGGCCCAATTCTTGGCCAGAGTGATCAAGACCATTGAGGCATCCCGTAGGCAATATATCACCCGCATTAACAATGCGACTTGGTCCTCTTTTGTGTCCTGGTGCCGGTCCACAGAGGTGGATCTGGCTTTGACAACGCAGGTGCTGGTGTTCCTTTAGGATGGTCTTGAGAAGAGTCTATCCCACAACATCCTCAGGAAGCATGTTGCAGTATTGCTACAGTCCCTGGGGGGCTCTCATTCCCTAGCGCAGCACCCAGGCATTGAGGTTTCTTAGAGGGGCGGCTAATCTTAGGCCACCCGTGGTTCACCGGTTTCCTACATGGGACCTACCCAGGGTGTTCCAGGTACAGACCAAGGCTCCATTTGAGCCTTTGAGGACAATAAGTCTTCAGTTCCTCACCCTTAAGGTTGTTTTTCTGATGGCGATTAATTTCGCCAGACACGTATCAGAACTCAATGCCCTGTCATCTAGGGCTGACCTATGCAAATTTCATGACAACAGGGTCGTTCTTAGGCTTGATCCCTCCTTCTTGCCCTAGATTAACTTTCCTTTCCATAGGCCTCAGGTGGTGGTTCTCCCGGACTTCTGTCTGGTGCCCTCCAAGGAGAGGGAATGGTCCTGGCATCGCCTGGACTTGAGAAAGCACTGTGTATTTATCTGAAACACACTTCAAGAAGTTGGAGGCGATCTTTGTCTCCTTCCAGCCCTCCACCCTAGGGGCTAGGGTGTCACCAGCTACCATCGGCAGATGGATTAGGCAGATGGATTATCACTAGAGCATATGAGGCACGAAGGCTTCCGGTGCCGGTTGGCATCACAGCGCACTCCACTAGAAGTGCAGCCATGTCTGCAGCCTGGTTGACCCAGGCGCCCATCGAGGATATTGTAGGGCAGCCACTTGGGCTTCGCCCTTGCCTTTCATCAGACACTATCGGCTGGACACTTACATTTCAGCTGAGGCCTCTTTTGGTAGGAGGGTACTGCAGGGAATGCTGGACACTCGAGGGGCTCAGGCCCAGTGATTCCCTCTCATGAACATCAAACTTGGACATGTCCCATCAGTGACTCCTCCCACAGGCTACTTCAGAGAATGTCAGTTGGTCTTACCTGAACTGCATTTCTCGAAGTCCTGTGGGATGAATTACTTCTCACCCTTGTTAAGAGTGCTTTGCTAGGGTCCTGAGCTAGATTTAATGGCTATTGGGTCAGTCAGGGTCCTGGGGTTTGGGGTGTTGTCTTTCCTATACCCTTCTTTCCCAGGTTCTTCTTTGGAACACTGACCAATTAAACTGGAGCCATGCAGAGGAAGCAGAGGGGAGTGACCTCAACTTTAACCTCAAGTCTCAGGGCAGATTGGACATGAATATAACCCATCAGTGACTCATCCCATAGGACTTCGAGAAATACAGTCCAACTGACATTTGGTACTGCCCTGTGCCAATGGTTCCAGAATTACATTCCTTGTTGGATTATAAGAGAAAAGGAGGAAAGTTTGCAAGTCCTCAAAAGGGGGAGTGGGGATGGGGTCTGGATTCAAAGAAATTTGCTTTCCCAAGTGAAGAAAGTATATCATGGTATAAGGCAGTGTTCCTTAATCTCAACAACTTTAAAATGGATGGACTTTTTGAAATTCTGCCTTTATTATTTTCACAGTTCAAGATAAATTATTATGAAAGATGGTGAACAAGCCTAATACTCCTTCTTTTTCCTATTTTACCTTTTAAAACTCTGTGTGGCAAGTTGAACTCAGACAGAGTAACTAGCCCAAAATCACCCAACTGTCTTTTATACTTAAAGGAGGACCAGAACTTGCAGCTTGCTGGTTTCTGGCGGTGCCTCCACCACTAGACTGAGCTGGTTGACTAGGAATTGAAGTCCACCCATCTTAAAATAGCTGAGATTGAGAAACAATGATCCAAATACTTACTCTGTTGTTATGCTTGGCTTGTTCCAGTGAGGCAGTAAAAAGAAAGCAGCGGCAGGGAACGCTGGCCTTCTTAGCACATTCAGTGTACCTAGATAAGGGAACAGCATTTTAATTTCTCAATTTATCTGATTATTTTCTATCTTTGGGCTTGCAGCTTAGACATTATCTACTAAACTTAAGGGATGAACCTTACCTGCGTCTCGATTCCAGTTCTGGGTTGGTATTATCCACTACTACACTCTTTCCTGCTTGCAATGATGTTTCACACAATGCCACACATTTCTTCCATGAACCAAGGGTGTCCTTAAAGGGAGAAAGGCAAGATATAAAGGAAGGAAGCAAGCAATAAAGCAGGACGAGAAGAGTTTTAATCTCTCATTGCTTACCTGGTTGACATACGCATATCCAACTGAGACTAAATGTCTCTTCAAAAAAGTTGATTTGCCAGCTGGAGTGGGCAGGAAAAGATAGAGGAAGTATGAACAGTGGGGTATAGCAGAGATTTCTAAAAGTCAACAGAACTCAAGGAACATCATCAATACATGCCTTAATACGTGCATACATTTTTAAAAAATAGCATCCATGTTCCTTGCAACATTCACAACTAGTAGTCAAAAGGCACGATAAAAATTCCTTAATTTCACAACACTTGGACAGACTTAACCAGTTTCAACTGGGACCACATTTGACCAAACCAAATCCAAAAACTGGAGAATTCCAAGAAGCTTGAAAATGGCAAATTGGTCATTAATAGACATCAACAACATCAATATATCATTAAAAAGAGACAATCAACAAGCCAAAGGGGGAACCAAAATTCCCCTAACACCTCCACACCAGCAATCAACACCCTCATTAGTCACAGTTAACACCAAGACTAACTAGCCAACAATCAAGAAGCAAACAATATCCCAATTAAGGAATTGCGAAACAAGCTAACAATAAACAGCCGAACCAAACCACCACTCCCACTAACACTAACAGGATAAACCACTAGAATGTAAAATGAGAGCAAAGCCTACTCTCTATTAGCAATGACAATGTTACTTAGCTCAGGTAATGTCTGCAAGAAAACAGCCAAGCTCAGAGAGCACCAAAGACCCCTCACTTCAACCCTGAGCTACAAATATTCTCTTATCTGGTAGGGCTGTGTGACATTCCAGATTGACACTGGAAAACAGGATTCAGACTGAATGTGGAACTCATAATAGAATTTCTTAAATTAAATATGAATTTTCCTGGAACTTGCCAATAGATCAGTTCCAATCACTGTTTCTCTTTTGAAACAGGATCACTGCATAATCTTCATTTCTTAGACATCAAGACTGAAAAGGAAATGTGTTTTTCAGAATATTCCTTTTCTACAACACAAACCTCTTCTGAGGTACAGATTATCTCATTTTCTTGAAATGAGATTGAAAGGTTTCTTTACACATTAACTCATGATTAAATGAACTATTTGGTCATTAACTAAATTCCAGACTTCACAGTGCACTCTATACTAATCAACCACTTATTAGACAAACGTAAACAACTAGCAATTACACTTAGGCTTATATACCACTTCACAGTTCTTTACAGCACTTTCTAAGCAGTGCCCAGAATCAGCATATTGACCCCCAAACAATCTGGGTCCTCATTTTACTGGACCTTGGAAGGATGGAAGGCTGAGTTAATGTTGAGCCGTTGAGAATCAAACTGCCAAACAGCAGTTGGCAAGTCAGTAGAATTAGCCTGCAGTATTGCATTCTAAACACTGTGCCAACATGGCTCATCGAATGGTTGTGAGTGAAACTAGTTCTGGGCTCACCACTTGAGCCCTATGGAAATCTCCTGGCAGATGACAAGACCAAAAGCTCAGAGAAGCTCAGGCCTTGAAGACTTCATGTATTGCATTACTACTGTTCTCCCATTAACCTTAATATTTGAAGATGACACTGCATGAATGCTGAGGTTGCAAAGATCATCACTCACCAGCAGGGAAGCCAACAGCTATAACCAGCTCTGAGGAGGATGAGATCAAGGAGGCATTGGGTGGATCATACAGTTCAGCTTTAGGGTCCAATGCTCGCTAAATTAGGGGTTAAAGAGAAAATCAGTGTTCTAATACTAGAATACAAACTTGAATTCTGGATGTGCTCTGCAAATCTTGAATGTGCTTAATTTTTTTACCCGTTCTCCTAGTTTTGCAGCTTGTTAGATCTTACTTATCAGTAATGTGAAAAACCACACATTTTTCAAGAGTACTAATGCAATGAGAACGTAAACGAACATAGCTTAAAATAATGGCTAGTTTGTGAAAGAGACAGCATTTGTAGTTGTTGTTTTCAACAACTCATTATTTTAACCTGGTGCACTTTCTAGATGATCTCAAGTTACAGTGACAAAAAGCTAGGCAGTCTTGATCCAGTCAATATTTTAATTATCTTCAACCTCTTGCTGAACATGCCAAAAGACAATGGCAACTGCTTTTTGCCAAGAAAACCGCTTGATGATGTCATATGATCATAAAAAGTCCGCAAACGGTTTCCAGTCTCTTATAAAGCTGCCTAGTCCATTATCTCTAATCAAGGCAGTTAATTTCACCATTCTCTGCTAATTCAGTCAGTTCCAAAATCCATTCTTCAACAGTCGGCATCCCATTTTCTTTCCAGTGTTTTGGAAGTACAATCCTCACAATGGTCACCAGATGAAGGAATAGCACCCCATATTATTTTACTTTTTATGATAAAACAATACATAATATAAAAAATATTGATACAAATAAATAAATAAATGCTGGAAGAGAAGCTGGTGGGTTGGTTTTTTTTTTTAAAAAAAAGAGAGAGACAGAGAAGTGACTCACAGGATCAAAGTCGGGGAGTGCAAACGGTGCCTGTTTCCAACCCAGGAAATATTCTTCAGGAGTGTAGAAGGGAAGGCCAGCATTCAAAGCAAACTGTGTGAATAAATAGGATAGCTTTTAATGTGGAGGAAGCCTCCTGAAGATATGTGTGCTCAGATCTATCCAGTTTACCTCTGATTCTGTTCATTTTGCGTCATGTTTCTAAGTTTGCTGGAAATCTGAATCTGGGACCAAAACTGAGATAAAGCATATAATCTTTCACCCTCGGAGATTTCACTACTGATACGTTTTCTTTCTTGTTTACAAACTAAGAGATAATAGCTTGTTTTGGAGCAGGAATAGAATAGAATCTGGAAGGGACCTTGGAGGTCTTCTAGTCCAGCCCCCTGCTCAAGCAGGAGAACCTATACCATTTCAGATGTGAGTGTCTAGTATCTTCTTAAAAATCTCCAGTGATGGAGCGTCCACGATTTCTGAAGGTAAGATGTTCCACTGGTTAATTGTCCTCACCGTTAGGAAGTTTCTCTTTAATTTCAGGTTACTTCTCTTTTTTATTAGTTTCCAACCATTTTTTCTTGTCCTGCCCTCTGGAGAATAATTTGACCCCCTTTTCTTTGTGGCAGCTCCTCTAGTACAGGAATACTACTATCATATCTCCCTAATTCTTCTTTTCTTTAGACTAGCCAAACCCAAATCCTGCAGCCATTCTTCATGTGTTTTAGTTTAAAAGAAAAAGGTTCAGTCTGGCTGCCAAATTTCTTACTGGATATAAAGCTAAAGCTTTTTTTTTTTTTTCAATTTCAGAAGTTTATAATTTTTGATACAGAAAATAATTACTGTAGCTCTTAAAGCAGTGCTGGGAGAACCTCTGGGTCTTGCTGAATATTGCTGAATTACAAATCTGAGCACCCCCAAAGTCACAGGATTCCTGTTCATACATGAAAATGAGTAAATTGGAAGGAATGATGAAGATGTGAAGACTACCAACTCATAGCTTATATTCTATGCCGATGCAATGCTAGCTCTGACTGTGGAGAATTGCATATCCCTGCAACTTTTCTGCATTTTTTTCTCAACAATAAACCCCTGCAAATTCCTATTTTTCACTGCTTAGACTGCCAAATCCTTCCTAGACCTTTAATCATCTTTGTCTGCCCCAAGAAACATAATGTTACAGCCCTGTTTAGGTTAATTATGACTTCTATAATTTAGCATAATTATTTTGAACTTTGGCAATTCTTACATTCAAAGAAGTGACCAGATATATAATTCTGGCTAAGTTTTCCTATTTATTTATATGATATATTAGATATTTAAAGAGGGGAAAATTAAGTGAGGGAGGTAAAAGTATTTTAGTAAATAAGTAAGAAAAGTTTTAAAAAGTACCTAACATGGTTAGAAAAATAGGCTACCAATTTTTGAAATATTTTTGAAATGTTGGGTTTACCTCAGAGGAGAAAATAAATAAATTCATAAACACTGAATCAGACTGAAAGTTGCAAGGCAAACCCATTGTCACACAGAATTCTGCACACATAGTGCTTGTGTCAAACTATTATATAGACAACTAGAGACTTATTAATCATCTTGAAAACTGGATTAAAGACAAAAGAAACAGCAAGGGATATGGATGTTTTCAAATTATTTATATTTTCATCCCAGAAGTTCAATATGATTAATCCCGAGACAAGAAATACTGTAAGACATAAGAAGGAGTAAGTTTTCTCTCTTACCAGACGGTCACTGCAAGAAAAATCTTTCTTCTTCTGTCCAGGGGCCCAGTTTGCTGGACGTCCAGCAGCATCTATGAAACAGAAGAAAGATATGAACACACCCATTGCCATGAGATGGGAAACTGATCACTTGGATATCAGTAATAAATTTAAAAACTGGGCTTTGATTTTGAAGGCTTAGAAAGTATCATTGGCCAGGATAAGTACTTTCTGAGAGTGAGTCAAATCTACTCTCTATTGTTATATCAAATGGCCTTCCTGGTGGCGGAACTCATCCTGGTGGCATATGGTTAGAATGTAGTACTACCGGCTAACTCTGCCCACAGCCAGAAGTTCGATCCTGACGGACACAAAGTTGACTCAGCCTACCATTCTTCTGAGGTCAGTAAAATGATGACCCAGATTACTGGGGGCAATACGCTAACATTGTAAACCACTCAGAGAGTGCTATAAAGCACTACAGGATGGTTTATAAGTCTATGGTGCTATTGCTATTGCTTCCTTTATGCTTGACTCACCTCCTACATAGACACTTTCTTGCAAAGACACTTCTAAGCCACCATTTGCCTTGAAGAAAGGGGAGAGAGAGAGAGAAAGGGAAAATCCAGACATGGAATAGCAAACTATGATTTTGCTCCTTCCCAGCCCTTTTCATACACACACCCTCTTTTAGTACCTTTTTGCACAGATAATCCCACATGCCAAGGACAGGTTTGCGGTACATTCCTGAATGAGTTGCCACAAAGACCTGCGGAGAAAGGGATGTAATAAAAGTGAATATTCCAGTTGGGCCTGGATTCCATCCTTCCCTCAGAAGCGGATTCTTACTTTTAGCAATTACCATTTAGGTCCCAGTCCATGATCTGAGTTGAATCTTACAATAGTTATTCATTAATTATAATTATATAAATAATTATTTAATAATTACTGCTCTACTCCCAATATTATAATAATTATTCATTAATTATAATTATATAAATAATTATTTAATAGTTACTAGTCTACTCCCAATTAATGAATTTCACTCAATTCCTCACAGGTGAACATAGATGAATGAGGAGTTGGAACATTTCTGCAAGATTATCCATTTGGGATGCCTGATTCATCTTTTATGACTTCAAAATGACAATGTATCTGTAGCAACTGTAAGAGATTACAAGTGCACAAGCAGCAAACAGATACAACTTTTGAAGAGAAGGAGCAAAGCGGCCATTCATTTTAACTAAGGGTCAATGGCTATCATTATTTTCTTTCTTTCTTTCTTTCTTTCTTTCTTTCTTTCTTTCTTTCTTTCTTTCTTTCTTTCTTTCTTTCTTTTTTCCTTTATTTATTTATTTATTTATTTATTTATTTATTTATTTATTTATTTATTTATTCATTCATTCATTCATTCATTCATTTATTTATTTAATGCGACCAAAAAAAATGCTGTAGGGGAACATAGCTTGGAGAGATAAGAAACCTTCCCCAATTTGCCAAAAACAATTCTACATAAAAACCTACGTGCTACTTGTGGTATAGTTTTCCTTTAAATCCTAATGGACCCACAAGACATCTTAATAACAAAATAAAAACCATACTATTAAAATATAAAATGGAAGAGAAGCATCTGACAGCGATATGAATAACATGCAAAATAAAACATAACAAAATTAGCTACAGGATAATGGTTACTTATTACCTTTAAATTTTCTCTGAAATAGAATAGAGTTCCCTAGAGTTCCATGCCAAATATTAGGAATGATGGAATTGCAAATTCAACCCATCTAAAAAAGGACAGCAAATGAGACAATGCAATGGAAATGTCATAATCTGCTGCTTGAATTCTTAATTAGAAAGTGTCAGATCCCTAAAAGTGATACTACCATTCATTAGTATCATACATAAATCATTAGCTACATCTGAAACAACTGAGTTTTACAACTTTACAACTGGTTTCTTGTCACCGGGAGACTGAAGGTCCCAACATCTCTGGAGGGATGTTTACGGTAGCCATGTGGAATATATAACTTTGATGTCTAATTAGAGATAGCCATGGGAACATGTGCTTTATTGACTCCCAGGGCAGAAGAGTTAAGGAAGCATCTTCACACTTGTGTATTGGTCAGAATCTGCATTCGGACAAAGGGGAGGGGTCATTATCAGCTTAATCCCATTTGCATGGCCTAAAGGTTTTCAGATGCTGCTTTGCTTCTAATGGTTTCCATCCTGCTTGATCAAAGGTTCCTTTTGAAATAATCCATTTCAAGAGTCTTTACTTTCTCAAGTTAGGAGAGGCGCCATTACATAAAGAATAAAGCAAACCTCTCTTCCTAGAAATTGCTACAATTTTGGTGCTACAACGTAGAAACCCTTGAGACTTTTTACACATTCTCTTAATGCTCCTCCATCGTTGCCTTCTGGGTCCAAATCTTTACTGAAACCATATTTTCTCTTTCACATTTTCTTCATTCTGTGTGTCATATTATGCAGCATAATGGTTATTTAACTGCTGTTAGCTCTCTAAAGTTGTCATGATGAGATGAGCAGCCAAATAAATGGAAAATGAAAAAAAAAATCATGAGATTAACTGGACTTTGCCATAAGCATTCAAAGCCCCCCTGTTCAACCTGCACGCTTTGCCGAGCAACCTGGGCGAGGTACTGCCTCTCCTCGCAACTCACCTGCAACGAGACACCCAATCGCTCAATCACAGCTTCCACTTTAGCTTTGAAAATTTCAGGCCTAAGACGCCCACGGCCAATGCCCAGTTGATTGGTAAAGATCACAAGCTGCCGATAAGATGGGAAGATGAGAGATTACTTACAGCGAGAAAGGGTTAACACAGAAAATGGGTTTGAGACAAGAAGGACCATACCTTGTATCCTTCACTCTGAAGTTGCTTCAGCTTGTGAGGTACTTCAGGGTACAGGATCCTGCAAATCAAGGGAAAATTTTAAGGCTGCTGTCTATATGCTCATGCTCTTATCACTAAAAATATGTAATTCTTAACACAGAAATTGCACTATAAATTCACTTTTAGTCCTCTACTCTGCAAAAGCGCTAAGTATTTCTTATAGTATTTCATCTTTCCTCGTGGAAGCATAACTAAGCCCCATTCTCCTTTTTTCCATTTTTTAAAAATATTCTATCTGACTTAAAGGAATTCCAGGTGATGTAATACCCTTCTTCCTCCATTTACATTAATGAAAATCCTGGCATGTTAGGTCAGGGCTAGAGAATGAGGTAGGCTTAAGTCTTCCAATGGAGTCAAAGTTGGCTGAGGTTTTCAGTTTTTCCTGGCAGAACACTCGTGACTTCAGTGGCCTGATATTTAAATGGCTCTGCTTTAATATTTATATTCTCTGGTAAAGTGACCAATTATCAACACAATCAAATGAAAGTATTAAAAATACAAAAAATACAAAACAAATGCAAATTAAAACTTTGTTTCTAATAAAAATGACTCAACTAATAACACAGATGAAGAATTAGGGTTTCCTTTACAACAGCCTTCCCAAATTCTTTTTGTAGTTAAAAATATGAAAGGAATCAGTTTGGAGAACAGTGACCTACACCCTTGTTCCAAGGAGCTAAAGTTACGGCAGCCTGCTGCCCTTCTTCCTCAGACCTCAGCTGCTTAGTAGTTTTGTAACATTGGGTTGAGAAAGATTCCACAGGTTTCAAAGAAAGCAGATGTTCAAATCTAGCACTCACTTTCTTCATCTAAGAAAGAACTTCCACGCCAACTAACTGGCTGTCTACAAATCTGCTCTGCCTTCTACATCCCTTAGCTCTGTGCTTACCTCCAATCATCAGGACTTATAGGAAACACTTTTCCAGATTTTGTTGTGATAAGAGTTCCATCCAGGTCAAACCCTGCCACCTGGGTGAAAAAGCACCAAAAAAGCCTCACATCCACACTCACCAACCACCCATAGTCAACACCATTTGCCTTATTTTTTATTCATATATTTCTTTATTACATTTTATCCCATCTTTCATTCAAGAACCTATGGCAATACAGTATAGTGTGTTCTTCTCTTCCATTTTTTACCTAACTCTTATTGAGAAAGGTTGGGCTGAGACAGCGACTGGCACAAAGTCAGCCAATGAGCTTTCATGTATGAATGTAAACAAGAATACCAATCCACTACTTTAACCAGTATGCCATATTGGTTTGCTAGACTTTTTGAAGACAAAAAGCAAAATGTCCAAACTTTGAAAAATCAGGACATTGCTTGACAGTCTCGGTGATTATGAGATCTTGCAAGATATTCTTTTAACAACATCCAATCACCCAAATATACAAATTCCCCGGACTTCTTGGAATTATGGCAGTGTAGTAATAATTGAAATTGGAGCTTCCTTCAACAGAAATGTATGTGTATGTATTTAATTAATTGAAACACACTGGATAAAAGGAGCTTTCCCAAAAGCGATACTAGGTTTGTTTTACTCAATGGAACTTGCAACTAAATATTTATGGAGTCCTTGGTTCTTGCTGAGCTTAGTTGTTTTCTTCTGCAAATTTCATTACCCAATTAGGTAACAATGCTAGCAAGAATCCCAATGCTCAATCTTAGCTACAAATATTTTTGTCTATTAATAAATACTTTGTTTACTTTGTGCAGTAATCTGTGCATTATTCCTCTGCATTTGTAAACAAAGAGCAAAAATAAAAGAAACTTTTACTTTGTTATTAGAGATAGATTTATATTTGATTTGTATAACTCTGGATCAGTTACATAAAACTTTATTTTATAGTTCAAAGAACTGGACAGAATGCAGAAATAGTCCTATTTTTTCTTGAGCAACACTCGAATAAGCAGTATTCTTGAAGCTGAATTTTGAAGTAACAGGCAAGGAGACTTACTTTAGTACTCGATACTATTCCTTTTTTGGTGAAGACCAATAGCTTGCCATGGTCCTCCCAGGAATCAGACGGGTGGGGGGCCAGTTTTGAAACAGGCTTCTGAGAAGAGTGTGCCTGTGCCTGTGCTGCTGTCTCTTGCAACTGCTTCAGTTTCTCAGTTATAAATGAGTCGTCATCATCCTCTTCTTCAGAAGGACAGGAAACCTTGAGACGTTTGACTGTAGGGGCCTTGCCATCTTCTTCTGCCTTCTGCTGATTCTGCTTGCTGCAGAAGAATTCCAGTGGGTTCTTCTTTGCAGAGTTGTCATCTTGCTCAAAGCGGATGCAATAAGGATACAGTCCGTTTACCAGGCGCAGAGTCTCTCCTTCTTGGAGCGTTGTGCTGTCTCCACAATGCAGGTGTATCTCTTCCACAGAAGTGGGATTTATACCTCGCTGCCAACACATAATAATATGAGAATGTCATGCTTGGTCAGTTGGCTCTTATACCCAGGGGATGGGTGGTTAATTTTGAAACTGTCTCTGCTCCTGTACAAAAAGTTCCCTTTGGAATCAAACAGAACACTCCAAATTTTCCCCCAACTCACCTGTGTGACTCGAACTGACCGGTAGGCATAATTTGCCAGCAATTCCACTATGAGAACAGAAAAAGAGAAGACGGAGTTAATTTTCAGGCTTGTGAAAAATATTTCAAGGTCAAAGCTTTTTGATTCTAGAACTATTCAGTTCAACTTTCACAGAAATGTTCCAACTAATCTTATATTCTGCTTCAAAGCTGGACCAAGATAATTTTATGAATGAAAGTGAATATACATGTCCCAGGATAAAGCTGCAGGGCCCAAACTCGGTCAGTCACCAGGACCAATGGTTTCTGAGATTTTGGTCTCATGCTGGAGCCTATCTTCAGGGAACTTCTTTTCAGCAGAGTGTGTGCTGTTCTCTGTGTAGTATTTACAATACATGTGGCTTTTTAGATGTTGATTGCTGTTGTTTGCTTGTGCTGTCCAGCCCTCGCCTTCTAAGTAATTAATAGGCCTGTGGTAAATCAGCACTTCTGCTGACTGATGAGAAGCCTGGTTTCCAGGCTCCAATCTCTTCACTAGCTGTTTTTGTACCTGCTCATCCAACAATCTTAGTAACTGCAAAATTGAATGTGTGTCCACGTTCAAGACTTGACTCTGCAAGACACTTTTCAAAATTGCAGTTCAATGTATAAAGCAATTCAGAAAGAAAACATACCGTATTTTTCAGAGTATAAGACACACCTTTTTTCCCTCAAAAGAGAGGCTGAAAATCTGGGTGCATCTTATACACTGAATACAGCATTTTTTTGCTTCCCGAAGCCTCTCACCCACGTAACACCTATCCTCCGCGAGCTGCACTGGCTNACTGAGTTTTACAACTTTACAACTGGTTTCTTGTCACCGGGAGACTGAAGGTCCCAACATCTCTGGAGGGATGTTTATGGTAGCCATGTGGGATAAACTCCCTAAACCCAAGATGTATAGCATGACTCCAAGGGAGTTGGAAGAACTGAGGGCATTCATTGAAAAAAACCTAGCAAGGGGTTTCATTGAACCAGCCTGACCAAAAGTTGCAGCCCCGGTGTTGTTTCGAGAGAAAAAAAAGATGGCTCCAAATGCTTATGTGTTGATTTTAGAAATTTAAATTCAATCAGTATGGCAAATGTATATCCTCTCCCACTCATGAAGGATATGCTAGTATACCTAGCCAAAGGAAGAATTTTTTCAAAGCTGGATTTAAGGGAGGCTTGCTACTGTAACAGGATTAAGGAGGGAGATGAATGGAAAATAGCATTTAACACCCCTCTTGGATGCTATCAATTCAAAATGCTACCATTTGGGCTACAAGGGGCCCCTGCAGTATTTATTCAATTAATAAACAAAGTGTTGTGGGAGCATCTATATAAGGGCTGCATAGTCTATATTGATGACATTATATTATATTCTGAGACCAAGGCAGAACATGTAAAACTAGTCTGGGCGATTCTGAACAAAATTTGCTCTGCAAAACTTTATGCTAAACTCTCCAAATGCGAATTTCACCAAGAAAAAATTGATTACTTAGGATACCGCATTTCACACCAGAGCATAGAAATGGATCCTTCGAAAGTCCACTCGGTACTTGACTGGGAACCATCCAGTTGCAAAGCTTCCTGGGATTTGCAAACTTTTACCGGCAGTTTATCCCCGCTTTCGTCCAAATTGCTCTCCACCAAGCTCTTAAAAACGAAGGGAGCGGGAAACCCGAAACCGAAGCAGCCTTTGAACTGGACAATGGAATGCCAAACGGCATTTGAAAAACTTAAAAGGCTGTTTTCAGCATAACCGATCCAAAGCACCCGGCACAGAGAAACCGTTCATCATACAAGCAGATGCTAGCAATGTGGCGATAGGAGCCATCTTACTTCAGAAAAATGAGGAAGACCAATTACAACCATGCACTTACACATCCAAAAAATTGAATGAATCTGAGCAAAGGTGGGCCATTTGGGAGAAAGAGGCTTATGCATTTCGATGGGCTCTTT